ACAGCGCCAATTGCTTTGCCTTAAGCTGACCAAAGGCAATGTAGGCAGCACACTGGACAGCAAGATTAGGTCATTTAAAACTCATCTTTACTTACAAGGTTTAAGAACATATTCATTTCAAAATTCAGATATTCTCAGAGCAAAACTGCCATCTGAAACGAACCATGGAGCCGATGTGCTTTGTAGCAAAAACGAAGAAGCCGGGCCAGGAGGAAATAAAGCGGACATTTCTGAGTGGCTCAAGGCCACTGTTTGTGAGGTTGAGCCGAAGGCTGTGGATCTCGTCTTCAAAAACTTGTTGAGGAAAGCCATCAAAACTGACCTAAAATAAAAAACGACATGCAGGTGTCGATGCACATAATAGAACTTTAAAAGGGATCGAATTCTAACTAAGAGAAGGGCAAGAAACATCTATATCTGTCTGATGCTACACTCAGTCGCATCTTTGTTCACTGGCAGGGTCTTCAAAGCTCAACCGTTAGAAGCATGCGAAGGAAAAACGATAGCTGAATGAGATAATGAAACATAATAAACACAAAATAATACTCGTAATAAGTGAGAAGTCGTGTATGTTCACTCATTTAACTAACCTACGACTGCACGCTTTTCACCTGCAATTATGAAACCGACTTCCTTTTTGAATTTTTTTCTGCATCGATGTATTTATTACCCACTTTGATACCAATAGGGAGCTAAAATGGGTTCACCCAGCTTTCCTTTCATAAGACTGAACTGAACAGGTTTGGCGCTTTAGATGTGTTTTTAAAGTTCAGACAAACCTCAATCTCACAATTACCGCCAAAACCTTACGCATTCAAAAGGGTTCAAGCAATGGATTATCAGTGAGATGGAACCGAAACGCCATTAGTAGCTGCCTAGGCCTCATTGAAAACGACTAGAGGGATATACAAATACGACAAGACGCACAGAGCAAACCCACCCCGACATCTAGCGGAACGTATCAAGAGCTAGTAACCAGAAAGCAGTGCTAAATGGGGCAAACAACGAAATTACTGATAGAAAGGGTGGCGGCCGTCGGCTTTTTCAACCGGGCCTTAGCACTTTTGCCCGGAAGCGAAGTTTCTGGGCAGTCATCGCAATTCACTCCACTTCTTGTCTTGATAAGAGTCTTGTCATATGAAAAATAATGTGTTTTTGAAACTATGGTGACGTCGAGGCTTCATAAATCGCCTCTTATCAGAATTATATTCATGCGCGAGTCAGCAATATTCACCGGGGCAACTGTGCTCCGCGACCAATCGTGGGATTTGACAGACTATGTTCCCACATTTTGCCATCTAGTACACAGCCTTTGCTGATGTTTCAGAAATTACTCTGCAAAGTTCGTTATGCACATCCTCCGATACAAAGTAACCCACAATTATTGGCACGGTAGTGACATTTGACGATCAAGTTCCTCTTGATCATCAGGCTCGAACCCGCGACCTGTTGACGAGAAGTCCAATGATCTGCCTCTGTAACAGATCGGTAAGCGTTCATCAACAAGTGTCAATATCTCCGAATCTAAACCGGCAGGGCAACGAGCTCGCAGCTGAATGGTTAGAGCGTTAGACTTCTGATCAAATGGTCGCGGGTTCGAGCCTTGGGTGGTACAAAACTTGACATTGGATATGGTTGACTGACTACGGCCAAGGAATCAGAAATGGTTATTCCAGTCTCCCTCGTCTCCCTCGGCTGATGGTAACATGAACCCTGTGCTAATAAGTAAGTTTAACATTCTTTTCGAGGTTGCTGTCAGTAACTTAGAGAAAACGAAGTGATATAAGATACAACCGTGTCAAATGGTTTAATATGACACCAAAAATCGCTCAAAGGGACCTTAACTAACCGAAAGTAGAGGTAGAGGAGGCACCACAGACCACGTGAAACGGGCGTCCTTCAGGCCCGACTGCTCAGTTCGCTGGTTTACGCTAACTTCGGAGGACGATGTAGACGACACAAACAGCAATTTACCGCGCACGGGATTGTGCACCAAGGTGGACGGCAGGTGAGGCGGCGTGACAATAGAACGACTATCGCCCAGTGGATCCGTCGTCGTCGTCTGAGCGGAGACCATGGAGGAGAGATCCGAGTCGGAATCACCTGGTGACATTTTAAACTTCGGTAGCACTTTATCTCCATTGTGAGTCGATGCGAGGGAGTTCTGTGAGGAAGCATGGCTCATGCTGGC